CATGGCAACCACACTACACAATTACTCAATTGGTATTGGTCATTAACTTGGTTCCCTTTATCTGGATTTTTCATTTTTCTTTCACTGCAAAAAAGTATCTATTATGTTTGTCAGTTTCATTTTAAATGCCTTAGCCGTCACTCGATAAAGTGGACGTGCATCTGAGGAGCTTATTTATCTTCATTTCCTTCCGCACAAGTTTTCTAAAGTGCTGTAAACGGTGTGTGTGACTTTAGGCACAAGAGCCACAACCAAGTCTTAGAATTTGTCGTGCGTCTTCAGGCTGAGTACCGCTAATTCAGCATCCGCGTAATTATTAAGAGTTTCTACAACCTTTCACGCAGTTAGTAAGCGCGAGCGAACACGATTCAATCGATTTACTTGATTGCACTTCACGTCGTGATGTTCGTTCAAAAATCGATATTAACTGATCCTATATAAACCGACGACTCGTTGCGTGGAATAACCAGGCAAATTCTGTATTAACAAATCATTCGACCTATACGCTATCTCCGGTCTCCTCTAAGTCCCTCTCTCTCGTAGCTTTGACTTGTCAGTTGAGGTCGTTTGGGCCTGGTAAAGTTTGTGGACCCCACTGGGGATACAACAAACACCTTTTCTTTCTTTACCATCAAAATTACCAAATTCAGAATCAGTCACACCACTTTGTATAACAAAATATTTCCGTCTAAAAACTGATGTTGATTGTTATAATTGTAACTCTAGATCAATACCACTGTAAATGGTTCAAGATTGTAACCACAAAACTATTCACCGATTGTCAATACAGATAAATCGATTTACATTGTCAAAAGATTTGGAGTAACGGTCTTCGCAAGTTTAGGGAATAAAACTTTACCCAACGTTTCCACAAAACTCCTTAAAGCTTGGATGCCTTTCAATTGGTTCATGTTAAATAAATTGCTTCAACAAAACCGATTACAATTTGGAAAGTGAGGCAGTCTTTAGTTTAGACCAAAAATATTAGTTAAATTTAACGGAAGTTGTAAAATAGCAGAAAAAATGAACAAAACACGTTCACGTGAGTTTTGAAGTACACTTTTGCTTACCTGAAGCAGTCACCTACGTTATGTCATCTCTCCAAACCTGACAACGAGTCCGGTAGGCTGGAACTAGATCGTGTGAGTGAGCAATTGAGTGGTTGTTATGAGTAATTTGCCGCTCTTCAGTGCCAACACTTTGATGACTCTGTAAGTAGCACCGTTAGCAAAATCGGTAAGCAGCATATAAAAGGTGATTTTGTCTGGGTAACACGTAATGCTCTCTGATAGCGGTTAGTGCACTAACAATAACGCCTGGCAATTTCGATCGAGACATCAGCTAGTCCAATTATTTAAACCATCACCAGTATCAGCTCTATCGGAAATCATAATCGGAAGAAGAATCCAGAAATAATGGGCGGAGGTTTTAAAATAAAATCGTAAAGTCAAATAAGCATTAGGTTATTTGAAGAAATGGGGCTAACAACGTCATAAATCCACCGTTGCCTGCTTGGTTTTGACTTAAAGCAAGGGTGGAAACGAAAATAGTTTCTGCTTACACCTGCTAGCGTAATTATTGCTTTACATGACTTTTACCATTGTTTCGATGTTCTTCTTTTGACATTTCACGATCTTTTCACTTTTAGTTCACTTGAGAGGCCAAATGGTACCTGTATTGAGTTAAAAACGATTAGTTGTGCCGTGCAATATCTTTTTAAGCTTTGGAAATGCTTGAAATCTGTTGAACTGTTCTGGTTTATCGAGTGGAAGAAGTGTCAAACAAATGCACGAGGGATCGCACAAATCGGTTGGAGTACAACCTCTGAAAGTGTCTTAACTCTGTAAGAAATGGACTGCCAACCACGACGTCGGTAGAAAAATACCAGGATTTTAGGCACGATGAACCATGTCAAAGCGTGTTGAAATGTGATAGCATGTGACAGCACATGATCGCGGTGTTAATTTCGTGTGACCAGAAAGGTATTGTGGATTTGTGTTGCTTCCAAGGTACAAATCGACCATTTCGAATGTTTGCTGTCTACGATTAAAACTAGCGAGTCGCAAAGGAATCGTTTCAAACCAAGACACTACTAGGCCTTACGCAAGAACACTACTTGGAGCTTGATTGGGACTCATTTGCTACAATTTACTTTAAAGTTTGTACAACGTTTTATGTAATTAAATACTCAGTGATTTTGATGACCTGAAACCGCACTTGGTTTTAAGAAAATGACCAGACGGTCAGTGAGTGCGTATTTTATGAAGTTGCGCTGAAAAAAAATGCAAAAGGTCATCGAACTAAATGTAAAATCAATAACTGAATGAAATTCATTCCCCGTATTAGGAAAATGTGGTCCGTTTTCACTTAATTTAAACAAACTGACTATTATCCAAGATTTTAAGCCACTTTGTAGAAACATTAGGCAAAGTTTTGTTTGTTAGCCTTGTAAAGACGGTTAGATAACCACTCTAACCCTCTTGCCAATGCAAATCGATTTACTAGTAATTAAGTGGTTTTAAATAAATTGTTTGAATAGTATCAATTTCTGGTTTTCCATTACCTGTAAGCAATCGCAATGAGTGTTAAACTAGAGTCAAGGAAACTAATAAGAAATTAATAACGTTCGTTAGACTAGTTAATTCAAACAAATTGTGATACTGAAAGTGTGTAATTGAATTTTTTTGCAGTTATAGAAAAATCATGATAATTAATGAATAAATATCATTCTAAAATACATTCTAATCGGAAATTTTACGGTCTTGTACCTTCTGCAAACATTTCCCGAATACTTCAACAACTTGTTACGGAAGTAAGTCATGCAAGTTGAAGCTAGAATCTTATGACTTGTCCAGAAAAATCAAGCCTTATCCGTACCCACCGCTTGCAGCAAGTATAAACTTGGTTTATTTAAACACGACCTTTTCCTATGACAAAAATTCTTAGGTTTCGTTCCTATTTAGTTTGAGAAAAAATCCAACCCCATCCTTTAAACCGTGCTGGTAGTGACCAACATTACCCTTGCAACACTGACTTGTCGAGGGGTCACGTGATCACCCTTTTTGGCGGACCAATGGGAATTAAAGAGGAGTCTCGAATGCTAATCGCGTCGACTTAAACCTCTAAATTCACGATATTACGCTTTGGCCTGGTAATGAATTGAAGCGACTTCCAATACTTTGATAGTTCAAAAAGCACTGTGCCAACATTGGAACGTTTTGTGGTATTTGTATCGGGTAGAATTTAGCCTTGTGTACAACCTCAAACTCGCATATCACTATCCGTGATAGTTCAACCGTCTGCTTTTAGGAAGTGGTCCGAAGATATCCCCGCGCCAAGCTCATCTCCCTCCTGCCTCGTCATCCCTTAAAAGAGTCCTGAGTCACCCTCCTGAATAACTCGACAGATATTTGCCATCTTGTTGTCCATGTTGCTAGCACAAATTTGAGTTTGTCACTGGCCCGACCCTTGAGATAAAGTTCGTCGCATGGAGGTCCTCTGTAACCTTACTCAATGGTGCTGCCAATTCAAATGTTTGTCTTTTTAAGCACTCCCATCCTGTCTGGCATTGTGGGGCAACTTAACTCCTAATTGGTTTTCAAATAACTCCCAAATTCAACTGAATAAGGCAAGCGAAGTGCAAGAAAGCTCATTTAGCTAAAAATAGCCACACTAGGCTTTCGTGGACAGCCACGTCATACAAAAAACTACTCCCCCCCTCCACGCTACCGTCCGAAGGCATTTTGAGCCAACACCGGCTGCTCACCAATCTCTGCACATGCTAGATGAGGACAGACACACACCCCTGTCCGTTTCACTAATGAAACAGCCTCATGCGCATACTTCGCGCGCGCGTACGACATGTAGTGGGACGGACAGGCGCTAGGATTAAGTAATAGGATAGGCGGACAGCCTCACGCGATCGATTAAACCGGCTGAGTTGGCATTTTCTCGGACGGCAATGCTGCCTCCGCTGGAGACGCCGTCAACCCTCGTTTTGTTGATTGTGCTTCCTCTATTGGCGTCTTCGCATATTTACGGTGACAACTTGGATTTAGGCGATGACGAGGGCGGTTACCTTCTTGGCAAGCCAAATGGAGAGGAGTTTATGCCCTTTACTCATCCAGGCAGGCAATTGGCTATCAACACTTAGTCATTTCTTAAAATACTACTTGTAGAAAAGTCTCATTTCGATTGTGTGCTTGTTCATCCATATGATTTTAATAGTTAAACACAGAGTACGATCAGTATCGAGTTTAATTTCCGATATTCCGAGCCCGTGTCTTCTCCAAGATCAGCGTTTTAGGGAACGTTTTTGTTGCCATAGCTGTGAAATTCGTGGCATAAAAATTGCAGGAATCGATATTATAACCGTCCTACTTCTGATCTGTTGGTTTGGCTACGTGGGAGTAAGCCATCTCGTTGTTAGGTCACAGAATGCCGAAGAAATCGCTTTCTTCTTCACCGAATTTGTGTTTTAATTCTGATGTACTGAGTCCATGGAAAGCTACTTAAAAGTATCCACTACAAGTCGAATTCTGGGTCGATTATCTCCATCAAAATGACAACTTTGATCGCTACCGCCGCCTCTCTAATTCGTTTGAAAGCTATTTTTTGAATTCGGGTTTTGGGTTTTTACGTTCAGATGAATTCTACTGAAGTTTTCGGATTTTCTACTGTGTAAAACGCCCTGGGAACTACTGCCTTAACTTTTAACTCCTATTTCATTAGATTTCTTGTCGCTTATGAGGCAGTTCTAATTACAGCAAGTGTCCTAATTGCGACAGCTTGTACGCTACTTGCATTTCTATAGACTGTCTCCACTTGTAGACCACCTTAGCTAAGATGGGGAAAAATCGACTAGACAATGTGGGCAAAAGCACTCGTTTATCGCTCGCTGGGTGTGATATTTCACTATGATAAGGGTGTGTGTGCTTGCCAAAGAGGGTAATTACTCACAGATTACTCGCGAACAGACATGATTCGCCGCTAGTGAGCCGATGAAAGGTATTGGTATGTCGCAGATGCGCGTTCCGACCGGATTTCGATACCAATTTCAATCACATAACCACGCAAGCGTATGGGTCACTGCTCATCTGTTCATTGGTTCAATTGGTTTTTTTTTTCAGACCACGAGTCGTCCCTTCGGTTCCACGACCGATGGATCTCCCGGGATGATTTTCAAGCCGGTGGAGATGCTGAACAACCGCCGAACATGATGGACACCTTCGAAAAGTTCAAGCGTCAAGCCGTGAAATGTGAGTTCAATTTTTCCAAATTTGCGAGGCAAACTGATCATCCCAACTGACGAGGGCTTCGCGTACATTGTTTAATCCTGATTCCACCACATCATTAGCCACTAAGTCACAAATTCAGGTTCCTTGAACAGCTGTCCAAATCCGAATAAGAAACTGTCAGCTAGGGTTTAACGATGTCATGATTTTAAACAAGCTTCTATTATAGATAAGTCAGGAAAAATGTGATATCAGTGCAGCCGAAGTGTTCATTCCTGCCAAATCGATTAACTCACATGCGTTGTTGCAAAAAAACCAAAACCTAACCAGATTTCAGCAACGGTGCTTTGAATGGGTATCAACGGTGCCTGTAGATCAGTTTATTTTAACCGTAAACTGGATTGCATTGTGTTATTGCTTGGGCGAATTGTAATAACCAAATAAGACATGTTACTGTCGATACAACTCAACGACTAGGCGTTAGTACATGCAACAAAAGATGCTGAATTCTGAATTTAATTAAGAGCCTTTATGACATTCAACAGTCAAGTGAATGCAACTCGGGTGTTGTTCACGGTTTTATTGTTCTAGTTCTCCAAGGAATCCAGCCCAGACGGTTCTTTTTGTTTCGATAACCGAGCAACCAATAGAAATTCAGTTTCCACTGTAGTTCAAACTCGCGTTAAATTCAGCCTTAAAAGGATCCATAGGTGGAGACACCCTACCCACTACATTTCCTTCAGATGGTTCGTTGATGCATAAAGGCAAAGCCGTCTTGGGGATCGCTTAAATTTACTTCCTTGGGAAAAACTTGGCGTCAGCGGGATTTTTAAATTGTGCTCCGCAACATAATCGTCATTCTTCCTATTGTGTACATTTTCATTCCGTTTTCAAATAATTTCCCGTTCAGTGACATCTTGGTAAAATGTAATTGAATATGAGTGTCGCCATAATGATTAAGGTTCGTGCATGTGATGATGTCAAACAAATAACCATATTCTGTTAGTTCTGCCTGTTTTAAATTACGCAATTCGAGCGACAAATAGCATTTTAACTAACCAAGCTGGTAAACTGCGTTGGGGGTAGTTAACACAAGAAATACACCCTTTACTATGCCACATGGATCAGAGTTTGCTGGTCTGATTATTGATTACTGGTTCCAACAGGTGATTAGCAAAATCTTTCAACCAGTAGCTCTCGTCATTGCCCAAAATGCCTTCCTTGCGTTGAGCACTCTCGATTTCTTTACACCTAGCCGTCGTCCCTGGCGACGATCCAAGTAGACTATCCGGAAGTGCTTCTTCAAAGTCAAAACTAGGTGGCCTTTTGAGCTGGCAGCTTGCAGGTGAGTTTCGTTGGCCTTGAATTCTCTTGCCTGCTTGTCTTCTGTAATTCCATTGTTTTCTTTTTTTCAGCGTTACTCTCTGTCCTTTGTGTTGGAGCCGCGGTTGTAGGTGTTATCCTTGGTGTCCTCTATTGGCCGAAGTAAGTTTGGATTTTTACTTTTGCAATCAGAATAGCATTGGATGTTGGTGGTCTTATTCAAAGCTACAAAATTTCTCACTATAATCTGATACACTTTAAGAAGATCGGAAAGAGTCATGTGCGGGATCATTTAAAAAAAAAACTAGATACTAAATTAAGGTGTCGATCGTAACCCCGCATATCTAGGGTACAGGAAAAATTTCATAATTAATGCTACTGTTTCCGGTCGCCACCCTTCCTCCTGAAATATTTGGTGCATGATTTAATTATTACGGATTTTCAGAGAATTTACTTGATTTAAAAGGAAAGAGAACAACGAATTTAGTCTTGGGAATGTTGTCTATAGTTTTCTGCGACCTCATCTCTCAGGTAACGAATGAATGCCATCGGGAAAGAAACTTGCAGGCTTCAAGACAATAAAGCCATCATCGACCAATTTGCGCACGTAGTCCATCGTTTTGAGCTGTTTATCCGCTAAAGCGTGCTGATGCTGCTGCATTGATCGGAACCAATGGTAGTCGGATGGGCAACAGCCTGGTAAATGTACCGCTTGTTGGGGAACTTCATATCCAAAGTTCAAGAGGGTCTCGTGAGTCAACGTGGCGTGGTCGAGCGTTTCCAGGCCGCAGCGCCATGACTTGCCTGCCTCCTTGTCCAAGTAAAGAGCCTTTTCGGATCACGTTCTTCGCTCAGTTTGTTAAATTTTCGGCTGTAGCGTCCCACAGTCACCGCCTGACCGGTTTCAGGAGTTCGTAATAAAGTACACCCTTCATGTCCCCCACCAGTTACACAGGAGAACTTTCTTCTTCAAGTTGATGTCCTGTTTCGGCGTCGGTGTACTTGGTTGTCCGGGATTTACACACTAACGTTTGCTTTTGGGATTCTCGTAAAAATGTACTTTTCATTACCCGCCACCCGTTCTCTGTTTATTGCCATCAGATAAGCAGTAAAAGACATGTGTTCATACGTCGACATATGTTCCATTCGGTCAACACATGTGGTGCAAGCGCCGTTTGGGTGACACCTAACTAAGCTGCAAGGCCTTGTGCTTGGTTAGAGTCATAATCCCGTAGAGCTCGCAATTCCGCATCTTCAAACTGTCGAGGCTGCTGTCCGGTGCGCGGCTGGTCACTAACATCGAAATAACCACTTCCATAACGTTTGTACCGATAATTGCACGTTTCAAAGTACAAAACGTCGGCACCAAGAACACTGCAAACTGATTCTCTTCGTGCTTTTGAAGCAGCATTTTTGCCTTGATGGAATTCGTGCAAAATGCAATGCCATCCAATGTGATGGTCATCAGTTGCCGTCGTCGTATATTCAGCCATTATGAGAGGTTATGTAACTCATGTAGACCTGTCGTTTGGTGCAGTGAAAACTTGCTTCCGATCCTTTCCAAACCACAAAAGACTACAAAACGATTTCTACCTTAAATACAATTTTAGGCTCGAAGAAAAATCCGCAGAAATTCGGTCATGCACGCATCATGGGCGTTTTTATTACTTCGATTGAATCTTTCAATTTTGCACTTAAGTCTTGCTTGGAAAGCAAAGATTGACTACTCAAGTCTTTGTGGAAAAATAGTTCAACTCTTAAATTAAACCTGTTTTGGGCCTCGTATTCACCCCGTTGAAGCTGGCTTTCGTCCACAGTGTCTGTTAAGGCATTCTTAGAGGTCTCGGTAGCAATCAACAGAGATCTGTACTACTATGGCGTTCACTCCGACTGTTGGTAGGAATTCCGGGGGTGTAGATACACAGGTACACGGGAGACGATTCACAAGGAGTGTCCGAGACGATGAACATCGTGGTAACCAGGTAGTAAGCACACCGCAACCATTCAGATTTTGCCAATTCCGACATTGTGCTTCCCGGTTGCACTTGAGCAGTCGCTCTTTCGTCTTTAAAACTTACTTTCGATTATTGCCTCCGCAGATCCGCGTTTGGCGAGAGAACAGAACCAGGTGATGAGGTGGGGAAAGCCGGAATCGGTGGTGTGGACAGCGAAGGCGACAGATCGTTGGCCCACTCTGCTCAGATGTACCACTACCAGCAGCAAAAACAGCAGATGCTCGCAATGCAACAGTAAGTCAAACTCTACTTACCTCCCAACTCTGCATGCCTGGGCGACCCAAAGCTGTCGGTAGAATCGTTTAAGAGTCATGTGTGTGCTTGCAGTTGATCAATATTTCTGTAGAAAGGTATGCTTCAGTGACAGCCTACATCTGCTTGCATTTTCACCTGATGGCGTAATTTTTTTTTGCGTGACTTTTGCCACTGTTACGAGGCCCTTCTTTTGACATTTGACTATCATGTCACTTTTAGCTCACCTGAGAGTCTGTTTGCGTGTACTTTGTTCACAATTGCTCCTAATCTCGAAGCTACTTTAAATTATGGCGCAAAAAATGATTATTTGCTGTGAAAATGCTTGAAATCTGTTGAACTGTTCTGGTTTATCGAGTGGAAGAAGTGTCAAACAAATGCACGAGGGATCGCACAAATCGGTTGGAGTACAACCTCTGAAAGTGTCTTAACTCTGTAAGAAATGGACTGCCAGCCACAACGTCGGTAGAAAAATACCAGGATTTTAGGCGCGATGAACCATGTCAAAGCGTGTTGAAATGTGATAGCATGTGACAGCACATGATCGCGGTGTTAATTTCGTGTGACCAGAAAGGTACTGTGGATTTGTGTTGCTTCCAAGGTACAAATCGACTATTTCAAATGTTTGCTATCTACAATCAGAACTAACGAGTCCCACAAAGGAATCGTTTCAAACCAAGACACTGCTAGGCCTTACGCATGGAACCATTTGGAGTTGGGTTGGGGAGTGACGTCGTGATATGGCGCCAATAAATTGCTATTTGTATCAGAATTTCGTTGAAAATTTTGTGAAAAATGGTAAAATAACATGGAAAAATGTTGTAAATATAGGTGCTCTGAGTTGATAAAGGACAGACTTCGTTCATGCCAGGAAGACGTTCCCATAATCAGCTCGAGTCATCTAAGTTGTCTCCTGCACTGACCCCCTCTAAGACTGTAAACTCGAGCACTCCTTTTCTTGTTACAGAGCGTCAGGCAAGGTACGCAGCCTGGACAGCAATTCGGACAGCGGGGACGAATGTGACGAGCCAGACGTCAATGTCTACGAGTGTCCCGGGCTTGCGGTGGTACGTTTCGTTTTAACCTTCTGGGCACTTTGAGTTACTTGTTGCTGCAAGCCTCATTGAAGAACCCGTTTCAGTGCGGTGAATGCCACTGAATCTGAGTCAGGAAGTGCGTACGCGACTCCTGTCGAATAATCTGCCAAAAACCCATAATTGGCAGTCACACTTTAAAGTTTATTCCAACGCTAAACGTCTCTAATGGGCCTCCACTACAAACCTCATCCATCTTCAATTGCCTCACAACTAATCTGGGTTCAAATTAGCGAGCAACCTGCCCTCAAAAATCGATTAGGAAGGGCGAGGTATTCATAGCACGTCTCTTTCCTATTCAACGAAGGTGAGTGAACTGGAAGTGAAGAATCCTCTATACAAAGACGAGCCTACCGAGGCCAGCGGAACGCAAAACACTGGTGCCGACGTTCCGAAGTAGGACCGTGGTCAACGCCTGGGCGTTTGTCGTCGCAGTCATTTTGCCGTTGTTCTGTCCATAGTTCCTCCCCCACTCCCAACCCACCCTAGATGTATGTTGGCGTCGCTTGTCCTGTATTTTCTTAACCTACCACCAATTATTCCATCCATCCTGCTTCCTCTCCAAGCCTGGGTTCCGTGGATATCGAAAAACAAACACTTATTTTCGTATTTAAATGACGAACCGTTTGTCTTGTTATTTAGCTTTGTGATACACACGTATCGGATTGTTTAGGCGTCCATCTATGCCTTATTCACTTTTCAGAAAACTTTATGCTTCTGTTTTACCGATTTACAAAATGAGAAATTTATCCCTTCCAATTAGCCCCTCCTGATCGATTACTGTTCTCGCCGTTTTTTCCGGTAGGGTTGCCTCGAATCCAACATAAGCCACTGCTTTCCTAGCATAAAATGCAATTACAACAGAGGATAATTTCATTACGTGTATGATTTCATCATGCGAGCATTTATCGAGGTTTGGAGCACTGAATTCTGACGATTGGGTCATTTTATTCTCCTGAAAATAAGGCGAGGCCATAAGTGGCTTTCGCATGCGGTTCTGCTGAACATGATGTAACTCTACCGCAGTCAGTTCTTTTTCTTGTCAAGACCCACTTTACAGGTGATCTCGTTAAGAAAATACAAAAATCCAGTCTATGCTTCATTTTACGCACACTAAAGAGGACAAAATTTATCACTCAAAGGTCGACGCTAACTTGTGTTGATACTAAATGACGCGTCTTGTAAACTCATTGAGTCTTCTGTGAAGGTTTAATGAGGTCTAATGAAGATCATGTGTTTAAAAATGCCAGTTTTCACATGTGGAGAACGTAGGAAGCAGTAGTCGATTGGGTGAGTTGAGTTAATCGTGGGTTGTGAGTATGTAGAATGTGATTTCAGTTGAAGTTGGGCATTGGATGCTTGGCTTTTGAAAGTCCGGTTAGTCGGGCATTTGAACATGGGTTTGTCAGTGTCGATTACTGCACCTGGTAAACCAACTCCGGTATATTCACTCATAAGTAAGCTACGAGCATAACCGAGCCCTTGTGTAAACTTGCTGGATTTACTACGGCCGAAACACGGGGACTAGGATGCAACCAAACTCTAAAAGGTTGGGACAGTCGTCAAGGGACCATATTATTGAGACAAGAGTAGAGCAAATCGCGTTGATCACCTCCCATCAACTTTAGTGCCAATCACTCACGAAAACCTGGTTCGATCGTCTGATAAACGGTTGCCTCTGCCATCTCCTTTTTTTAATCGTATCGGGTATCAGGGGAGCGCAATCGAACCATCAACAATGGGTCTGTGGTGACGTAGTTTGGATTTTCGTGTTCCAGAAACATCCAGGTCGCACTGAACGCGAGGTCGTTCAGGTGCATCAAGTGCACACAATCAGGCTTAGCTGGAACACGTGATCCCAGAGTCCGTAATTTGAAGTGAAGCGAAAATTTCACCACAGCCACCTCCAGGTGCTTCCGTTGTTTGGTCAACAATCAAACCCAATCTTCTCGTTACGAATACCTATCTTGAAGTATTTGCTCATTGAAAGCAAACAACTCCAATCAAAAGTAGTCTGAACAGACACTAAGCGGGAAAATCAAGAAAAGGTAAAAATTCCTTAAAAGAGCGTACGAATTACGCTGATTTCCGGCATTATAAAGTGCAGAATCTGTTGATTATTGACAAGGTGTATGTTGATACGCCACATCAAGTATGGAAACAATTAAATGTCAAATCTACGAGTTTGTTTTACTATGCCTCTTGTTACCTTGGTTACAAGTCACGCAATCGCTTCAGAAAATTGAGTTAGTTCAAGGAAATAAAGACGTTTAGTAGTGGGACAAATTCCTATAATGCTTAATTAGGCAATTTTTAAAACACAGTATGGGATTGTCTAGTACGTAATCATTCCGATTAACGATTAGCAATAGTATTGATGAATTTTGATTTAGATTCAAGTTGGTATGGCAACCAATCAAAATAAGCCAATTGTAGATAAATTTAATTTACATGACTCAAATCAATTAGGCCGCCTCCGGGATTTTTAGATTCACTTCTATTGGACATTGAGCAAATCGCCATGGCAATTGTCTGACACGTTTTATCGCATTTTTATGAGTCGTAGATCTCTGCGATAGCGCCTCAACAAGTGGGAAATTAGACATGATAAAAATTACGGAAGGGTTTGATATTTTTATCATTGAATACAATCCCCAAAGCCCTGTGGAGTAATCCAGTGGTTTTGAATAAAAACTCGAGGTTTTTATCCAAACAAAACTTCAGCTCAAATTATCGTGCTACATTTCATGATTTAGAACACTGAAAGTACTCGTTTGACGGGACTTGACTAATTAAAGTAGATCGATTTTGAATCAGATGCATTAGAATTGTCCCTAATCCACTTCCGATTCGTGTTTGTCGTAACCGAGCGTGTTACATTTCATAACAAATACGGACAGCTATCTTAAACCTGGTGAGGCATTAAACCTATAATTAGCGCGAACATCTATAAATCAACCATCGCCAATTGGTTATACTATTCTGATTAGTACAGGGTCGACCTTGAAGACAATAATCAATAGCTACGTTTGGGATCTAAAGCGGTTATTTGCCTCAAACTTGTTTCAGAAAGTAAACTGAGGACAAGAGCAAGTGCGTACCCGCAGGACAGGTTCAGTAACTTAGTCTCCGTGTCGTTGAAAATAAAAGACTGAAAAATAATTTTATTTTTTTAAATCACAACTGTTTTTTCTACGACTGGGATCAACAACAAGAACAACAGCAGCAGAAATTTTGTTCACCAATCCAGGGATCAAAACTATTCCGACCCGCATAGCGACATGTGCGCTTTGGCTAGCACTTCCAGTGTGCATGTGGCTGCATTTAGACCTCCACATTAAAACGGCGAACATGCCACACACGAATACACTCATTCTAACACCCACGGCGAATTCATTGGCTCCTCCAAGGTCACTGCTCTTTTGCTTTGAGAGATGGGGCGTTTGTGTGCCTTTGGCTTGCAGCATTAGTCGAGTACACCTGCCTTGAGGAAGACCATCGTGCTCGTTATGGATTTGCCAATTAAAAACTCCAAACTCAAGGTAAGCTCACTGTCCTCCGTCCTACTTACCACCTTGGATTCTTTGCATTTGAAGAACGTCACAACGCTGACGCCTCGATATGCATGTTAACTTTTTAAAATAGCAACCCAATGGTTCGATTAGTTATGGATGCAGTTGTACGGGATCATTATTCTCCACGCCCCACTAGCTAGTATTGACTATGCTGTTTTAAACCTGTCACATAAGTACTAAGGATCAATCATCGTTTTTCTGTCTCTGACCTCCAGTAAAAATTACAAATAGCATTGACTCGTGGATGCTGTTTGTGTCAAATCTAGCCCACTGTCATAACACTGACATTCACCTAATCGATTCAAGCGTATTTAGAAAAATTCTAACCATCCGCCAAGCTTGTGCCAGATTCTTACGCCGGGTGACGGTAGAATCGAGAATCATAGTGGGTTTATCATAGTGACAGCGGTGATTGGGGTCCGTTGTCATGACTGCACAGAAACACTAATGCCAACGTGACTGCTTCCGTGTGAGCTGATCTACAGGAATCATTGACATGCAACTTCGTTTAGGCTAGCTTCTGACGACAAACGGTGCAGTAAACAAATTTAAAATTCAAGATAAATTCCATGTGAAGAACTGCCTGAACTACTCTTTAAATTCCACACTTGCAATCGGTGGGTAGGAGAGCACGATGATGCCAAATTTAATTAATACAAGCAAAACAAGCTAAAAACACACGAGTATACCCAAATCCAAATTTTTCTGTCTCCAAATTTTCTCTCGAAAAATGCCACTTTCGAAGAAATTTGCAAATGTTCGGGGAAGGCGGCTTAGGTGTTATAAGCAGACGTTGGAAGAATTGCATTACAGTCTCCTTTCAAAAGATCACAGGTCCAAAAAAAGTAGTCCTTAAGGTTCAGATCGCTTTGAGATCCTGGCTGTGTGGTTGGCTTGGGATGCAATTGACTTCGAATGTTGACAGCACATCAGTTGTCTGAACACAAAGATTGTTTCGTTGTGGGCCCCAGCGTGTGGTCTTGAACCACACCGGGGCCACGGAATTAACTCTGGCCTGATTACGCTTCCCTGATACCCGCGATAAAGAAAAAGACCGGAGAGGACGTGGACACAACCGTTTACATCAGAGCTCAGCCACGTTGGTGTCGTTGTGGCGTGTGTGGGATTTGCGCGTGTGTATTTATACCTCGGATGTGTGAGTCATAGATAAGCTAACATCGAGACTTAGGTGTGGGGATAATCTAGGATAAGGAGGAGGGAGTTGAGGATCCGCGCGGCTGGCGACATGCTGCGAAAAGGGGAACCCTGTGTCGGAGGATGGAGCTACCGGATTAAGGAGTGTGTATAAACACGATTCACATCAGTTTACACAACCCCTACATAACCTATGACATGGTGGATAATGCTTGTTTATTGACCAGCCAAACCAAATAGCACCGATATTGCTTGAACATGTTTGTTGAACTTTTACCAGACTGGCTGAAATAATTAGTTAAAATTGGCAATTGCAGCACAAGCAAGCGTAGATATGAACAAAACGCAGCGACGTCCGCATTACTTATGCCTACCTTTCGATGGTAGAGGGGGTAACGATTAGCTACTCTGGGTCATTATGATCTCTTTCATTTCCTGACTTTCAGCTCATTTACTTCAATGTTCGCGGACGTGGAGAGTTGATACGTTTTGTGCTCTACGCAGCTGAAAAGGACTTTGAGGACTCGCGCATCCGCGACACCGACTGGCCGACGCTGAAGCCGAAGATGCCCTTCCAGCAGTTGCCCGTGCTAGAAGTCACCCCACCGGGCGGTCAAACAGTCCAACTCACCGAGAGCCTGGCCATCACGCGTCTGCTCGCACGCACCTTCAATATGTACGCCAACACGCCGGAGGAGATCTACTTAATCGAGCGAATGATTTCGTTGGTGAGTTTGGACAGGATTGGTGTGAGAGCCTTCACGTTGCATTTCGAATGTGTGACTCTAACAGGTGCTGCCGCCTGCTCGTTTTCCGTGTTAGACACCTGTCTGGACGTCCGGGTTAACACTGACTGATGCATGAACCCAATTTTTTATGTCGGTTTTTATTAGTTATTGAATCTGAGATTTAATACTTCACCAAGTTAGATTCCATTAAAAGTTTACACCATCACTTTGCCACTGACCATTTTGTGGAACTCTTAGAAATCGACAACCAAGACTGTACGATTTTTTCATTTTTTAGGCAGCCACCCTTCAAGAAGAGATCTACGGTCTGCATTTGAAGAGGGCAGGCGACGTCAAGAAGCTAATTGAGAGTGACCATCTGATGGAGTACATGGATGTGAGTGTGGCTGCTGGAAGTATTCTTCTACCCGCAACCCCCTTGTGGTGATAGTAAACGCCTGAATTCAGGCATGAGTAGCTCAATAGTGCCACAAGTTTAGCCAGTAGGTCTGAAACCTGCCGGTGTTCCGTGAAACTAGTTCTGTGATACGTCTTTATACTAATAACTAGAAAGCGTCATCCTGTGGCAAGCACCCGGGCGCTTTAAAGGTGTTTTTTATTGCGTTTCATGCAGGCAATTCAAATGGCTCTTAAGGAGAAGAAAGGCAATTTCGTAACAGGAGCCAATGTCACCTTGGCTGACCTCCAGGTGGTATTACTGGTCGACACAATGGACAAATTCCTTGGACACATCGACCACGAGTGCAAACAAGGCCTGGCCGCAATCAGAGCGGACGTGCTTAAGGCGAAGCCTAAACTCGCTAACTACCTTCGAACGCGTCCCAACACAGAATTATAATCCGTTCTCTTGCTGCTGCTGCCGACACTACTTTGCAACGCCCCTAGCCTTCCGAAATGCTCCGAGTAGGAGAAAAACACAAATAAACTGCATACAGTTGATGTTGTGATTGATTACTGCAACCACTGGCGAAAGTAACGCTACAATGAAAAAGGACCAGGCTACGTATTAGGTACAAGTTGGCATACGCGCGTAGATTCCATTAGAGCCATATACGAAGCAAAATAGAGGTGTCTGTCACTTGTGGAAATATATAACTGGGGGCGGAAAGTTTGAAGTAAATGCGGTTAGAAAGACATGCGGTCCGCAACAAGGCGTCGAACTTTGCCTCTATTCGGCGAAAAAAATGCGAGAAGACACGTCCTTGACTAGCCATGTGATACCTTCCAAGAGATTTTCTCCGGTGACGGCGCTACAACCGAAAATGCTCCAGTGGTGTGTTGAAATGTTTCGAAGACTTAGTGCTTCGGCTATCTCCGCTGGTTTAAGAGCACCCTGCAGGTCCTATGCCACAAAAAAACAAGTCAGGGGTTAATTCATACAGCTGGATAAAGAACCTCCTCATAACCGTTAAAAAGAACCCGATTGTTAATGGCATGAAATTAAGCTTATGGTAACAGGTGATGAAATATTTAAAGAAGTAAAACACCGAGGACATAGAGTGTAATCAACTTGCCTGTTTGTTCGCCAATACAAGAAGCGTTGCCCCAACCAAGCGTTCTTCTAAGAGTAGTTTGCTTAGCTCCTCACGACAGTCATCCAGACGCAGACGATCCGAACTATCAACGACCCAAATGAGTGCGTCGGTTGTCTCAAAGTAGTTGCGCCAGTACGAGCGCAGAGAATGCTGGCCACCAACATCCCAAACATTGAGCCTGTAACCCATGTATTCCAACGTATGTATGCTGAAGCCAAGGGTTGGCGCGATGGTGGAGATATCTTCGCCATTGAATTTTTTGACAATGGTTGTTTTTCCTGCGTTGTCCAGTCCACTGAAAATAAAAGGCTGCAGTAAAAATAGATAGCAGGCAACCCGAAGAAATTCAAGATTCCTTTAGGCATCCCAACTAATATGATTTACTTAGATCCATTATTGTGATTAAATTGTCGGCATAGCCAAAAAGAAAAAAAGCCGTGAAAATTAAATCAGGCAAATTTCAACAAGAAATTGCAAAGAAATAAAAATTACAGAATAAGAACCCTCATTTCTCGTTCCTTCTGTTTCAGTTTCCGTAAAATCGTCATTAGGCCCATGGTTACGCTAAAACTTTAAGCAATTACAAAGAGCCCGGCATTTACTGCCAATTGCGTCGAAAGTAGACTGACCAATTGGTGCCGAGTGCTAAAATAGTTAAAAATTAATTAAGATACCGTAAATTCTTATTTATTACATGATTAAACCAACGATGAATTTAGAAAGTTAAAAAGAAATTTTAACAAACTTAAACAGGTGGCAAACAATGATTAAATAACTTCAGGGCTTGCGATCTAAAATATTCATATTTCAGATCGCAAGGTTTATGCTATTTTGTCTACGGATAAGTTGGTCTCTCAATACAGATATACCTATGACTTTACTATTTGACAACCATAACTTTTTAGGAGATGAAGCTTAATATGGATTATTAAGTAGTTAAACAGATAATGCAATCCATTACAAGGCCTCTCTTTTTAGAATACCAATCTCATTTCCCTAAATGCAGCCTAATTTACTTAGCACTCAAATAAACAAAAATATAACGAGCATACTATATGTGCTTACATTTATGATTTAATTATTTTGTATATATGATTCTCGATAGTTGAAAATAGCATGTTTTTGCCAACTAAGCTGCTGGTCCAGTTAAATTGTTAACATTTATTTCTCAAATCATACTTTTACTTACTTTTCTTTCCTATTTCTTCTGCTTCCTGCACGTCAACTGTCCTCTAAGTGTGCCTGTAAAATGTTAGAAATGCGCCCTGACAAACTCTTCTTTCTGCCAACCGACATTTCTAGATCTACCTTGACATAGTTCGATTCCGGACATAGTGTTATATCTCATTTATTGAACAATATTTTCAGGTATGATTTTTTTCATTTATGAATTTCACTCTAATGTCATTCGCTCAGTTCGATATATTTCCTTAATGGAGAATGACAATTAGAAGCCATGTTAGATCTGTACCGAAAAAAGTTGAAATTCATGTCGGCTATTTATTTTGTTTATACACTTATTTTAGTAGTGGGCACTGTATGGTAACTGCAGAGGAGTTTCAATCAAATCCTCTGGGGACATTTCAATTAACACGTATGCATTATGTATATAAAAATAAAAATACTGCAAATATTGCTCAGGCTTACTTCATTTTGGACTTGTGAGAAATGTTATTATAACGGTTATTTTGTTACACTTTAGTCTGGGCTTCCTATGTAGCATGCATTTCAAATTTTGTTTCATGCAGGTTTTTGTAGACTACAGGAATTCGAATTTCAGCCAAGCATCAAAATTTTTTCCCACTGAAATTAATACTTGCCAAATTCGTATCTTTTGCAAGTACAGTTTGCCATAACCTAAACACGTGGCATTGGTTCAACACGGATTTATTGCATGTAATAAGTGAGATATTTTGTGGTTCTGTGGAACAAAATAAACTTTGAATATAATAGCTGACGAGCTATTTATTAGGTGGTAATTAAATGTAATTCTATCCCTACCATACTACCCAGAATTCACCATGACCTTTTACTTTATTGTCCCTGAAAGGTATAGCACCCACTCAATGAAATAGCACAAACGCGTAGGTAGCGGCATCGACCACAGAGCTAGACAATAATGAACCATCGCGTTGCATACATGTGTTTGGCTTCCAACGGATGCGATCAAAAGACTTGCTCGTTGAAAGTGCAAAAAATGCGAACCTTACAAGGCATTGAACAACTTTTTTTTAATGAGTAAATGATTATTACTGATTCTTTCTCCAAGATACTTACTTTATCGACCTGCAAACCACTTTTATTCAACACACCATTGGTGCTTCAAATCAGAATTGAGTACATATGAACAAAAGAATGAAATGTCATGCTTTATGGCATTAATTCCGTATTTAGTAGGCATTATAAGGTTTAATTTAATGCTAAAATGGCGAAAGAGGGAGTTCTAATTGAATTAATTGACCGAAATTAACTACCAAAATAGATAGAATCGAAGCCATAAACACGTTGAACCAATCGCATGGCAGTATAGGTAAGATTTAACGACGAATAATAATTGCGGTGAAAATCTAATCATTAATCATCTTCCAGGAAGATACTTCAAAATTGAGAATAACTACTGTTTACATCAAGCAGACAGTATTGCGGTTCAGACTATTCAATAACATTGAAAGCTGTTACTTTTGTTTCACCCACAATTATTCCAATTTTCCTTGACAAAATTTTGAATAAAATAAACATTTAGTGAGGGATAAGACCGTTTAGTATTTAATAACTTAGTGGTCCCAAGGTGAGTCGTTTCCTGCAGTGGTCCTTGTTCAGTGCTGTTCGATATTGAGACAGTTTCTTGCTTTGAACGACACGAAAATCAATTTCCAGTCAAACAGCAGCTCTCAAATCTCCAACCAATCACCCTAGCAGTTGTGTCGGATTGCTGTGTAAACAATCGTTACGTCATCTATCTTCAGCAACATCCAATTTAAGCAAAGTTTTTTACTACTTAGATTGGGTCTGCTCAAAATTAAACCCACAGAGTTGTAGCTCAAAGTTGCTTAAATAACGGTGCTTCGTATAACGTTTCTCAGTGGATTAACTTGCAATTTGGTTTTGACTGCTGCACCTTCTACCACTTACTTTTAATTCAAAATTTAATTGGCTAATAATTGAATAATTGTGAAAGTTGAATTCAGGGCAGTTCGTTTGTCAAAAATGTACGCCTTGCCATTTTCTATGACTGTGTGCTAAGGGTAAACATGTTTTCACATTCCTTTATTGTAGAAGTTGCGCGGTTTCTTAAAAAAACCCCAAATTTTTGCACTTTTAACTGTCTTACTCTCTTAAAATCAGAAGTGGCAAATTTATGGGAATTCGGCGAGTGCTGCTTGAAGGTTTGTCGTTTTAACTTCATGTGAGGGACATTTGGTCTGGCGTTGTCCTGGTGACAGATGCTTTCTTTTCGAGTAAACAAATTTGAATCGTGTTCCTGGATTTTGGCATTGAGTTACGTGACCTGGGGATCGTGCGTCCCCACAACGATTGTCTGGCCACGTGCAAGAAATTCGTACAAAACTCGCATAACCAAGCAATTTTGACTCCGCTATTGATCGCGATCCTTCACTTTCAAGATTACGCCGCTTCTTTTCCAACTATTTTGTCATAAACTAGTCACTTTCCGTCACAAAATAAGATGCGACTCATAAAGGGTTCGAAATCACGGATCAAGTCGTTGTCAGTGCTGAAAGCCTGCTCGTCTAAATGAAAGTCTTCACACGAGAATGAACGGAACTGCATTTTGACTGCCTTAAGAGCAGGCGCGTAGCTCAAATATTCGTCTTGACTGCTTTTGGTTGCAATTTCAACGCTTATTTCACAGTTAGCCTCAGTATCAGCGAGGGCAGCACTACATGTGATGGCAAATTATTGGGGTACCCAGTTAAATGTCTAGTGTTGTGAACGATGATTTCCAATTGCCAAAGATTCACGAGTCTCCTGATTGGATCAGCAGATTTCTACTACCTGATCCCTTCAAATTATTCCGATCTCAAATTTAGAGCGCAAATGCGACAGAAATGATGCAATCTAAATTCACTTTAGCTCACCATTTGCACAAATTACAGCCCATTTTTACTGTCGATAACGCCGCCAAAACGCACACAGCCTTCAAAGTGGTTCCTATTGTCTCTAAGCGATAAAAAATTGGAGCAAAAATTAGGACCTAATTTCCGCATTTGAGGGCTCTGTGATGGGAAATTCGAGCATGCTTGACGAACCCTACTTTAGTGTCAGTGTTGGGTTCCTAAAAAGAGTTTGTCAAAAAAAAATTCAAAACTCCAAACGGAAGTGCAATTTTTTGTGAGTTAAGTCCCGGAAGCCAGAACAGGTACTGTGTTAAGCTCTTCCGAAAAAAGCATTATCTTTCACCATGGCAACGCCTTCAATAATTTGATTTTTCAGCTAAAGACAGGATGCCAGGCTTCGTATTGCGTCACATATACCGATTTACGTCAATGGATTATTATTACGCTTTGTATCCAAAACTATTGTGATATAGGGGTTTGAGGGGGATACCTCAACGCCATGAATTGTGCCTAGAAGAATCGATTCAACAACAGGAGTAAATTTGATTGAGGTCAGCGTGTGCACCTATAACCGTCAAAAGCAAAAATACGATATGGCTTCTAGGCTAAAATAGCAGAATTTGCATCAGCCTCCTTTTCTCATTTTAAATATGGTTGACACTCTGAGGGCCAGCACTCAAAAGCCCTGATGATTAAGGTGTGAATGTGGCAGATTTTTTTTAAATTGACAAGTTGAATCGTCTAGGAACCCTAAAAACCTGCTAAATGTTCTCCGGCATTTTACGGTAAGGATTTAGTGTCTGCGTAAGAAACTGGACACTAGCTTTCATAGTACGCATACTAACAAGTCAAATTGCAAATTTTAAGGTACCACCAATTGGACTGCATTATCTTTTCAACACTAAATTCGATTGTAGACGTGAGGTCCTAACGTAGAAAACAACATTCCATTTCTCTTCGTTCTGACAACTGTGCGGATGGCTAATTTGTAGTTCAAGAAAATACTTCACACTCGGTTGATGGAATTAGTTAAACCGACAATGAACCATGCCAACTTGAATGCCTCGGTGGTGAGCCCTGAGATTTGCGGCGCGAACCTTGACTTCGCACGTTCGCGGACGATTATCGAAAATCGATAATCGAAACCCCATTATTATCATCTGCACTGATTCCAGAGTTGTACCAATGTAAATTGTTGGCGGTTTTTTTCAATAACCTGCAAACTTTTATATTTCAATTTCTAATTGGTGTCTTTTGGATGCAAACAACAATGATCAGGCAGGCGTTTTGCTGTTTGATAGATGCAATAAATGCATAGCCTCAAGTGCGGTGACGTAATATACTAACAGAATTATTTGCTAAGTGCTAAAACGACACCACTTAGACCCATGAACCTTTAACTAATCTTCTGTGTTTTAATTTATAGGTTAACTCGACAATGAATAGCCTTTCTGTAAAGGCGTGCATTGGTCTGAACTACT